ATCTGCTGCACACATCCACGTGATGACGATGATGATGTCCATAAGCGAGCTCTGGTTCGCCATCGCCAAGAACGCTTCTAACAACAAAATAATTGCTGAGTTTGTAGTTCAATGTGTATGTTGAACTTCTTTCGCGCCGTACGTAGCCAACCGCGCTCATCGCTTGCGAGAGATGCAACACACGAAAGTTCGGCAACGACAAATGTGTCGTCAAGCCCGTCCACCACACAACGGAGGGGGCATCGTTAATGTTGACACTCCGACTGATGCTCCTGCTGCTGTTGTGGAGTGACTCATGCAGCCAGCTATGGCTGCAGAGTTTGGTGGTACATGTTGTTTACGTCGTTTATTGTGAAAATTCCGTCACAGTTCCTATGATCACTGTTTCATTGCTTTTATGGCTTTATTGTGGTGATTTTCGAAAAGTTTTTTGGTTTAGCCATGTTTGTTTGTTGTAGTACAGAGTTAGACTGATGGCCTTAATCTAAGTTGTCTTGTTGTTGTTGTTGTTTGACTTGCATCCCACTGGGATTTTTGCACACAGCGTTGGTGTACGGTGATTTTTTTGCAATATTTTGCTGTCTTTTCTTGGATTTTCTGTTTGCACTTAGTTACTTTAAGATGTTTTCTTGTTCATGTTTTTGTTTTTTGTTTGTTGCGGTTGCACCCGATTCAAGAGCCGAATGGCTCACAGGGATATACCTAATACATGAACTTTGAACTTTGTTTAGCAAGTTCAGTCCACCGGTTTGCATGTTGCGGAGTAAATCCACAACTTTCACAATCTGGGTGCCGTCAAGTTTCGCCGGTGATGGCATCATCATCATCATCGATTATCCAGCATCACCGTCGATTATCAATCGATTATTCAGCATCACCATCGATTATTTAGCATCACCATCGATTATGCAGCATCACCATCGATTACCCATCGATTATCCAGCATCACCATCGGGGCGATACATCCATAGCTAGTGATTACATCCAGCATCCCCATCGATTACCCATCGATTATACACTGGTCAACACACTTTTTCTGGCATAAGGTATTCCAACGGGTTTAAGGTAATTTTGGGGTGCGGATTCCAAGTCTATCACATCAGGTTTTTGAGATCTCAAATATTGCATTTTCAATAAAAACTGCAGAAGAAAAATATTACATAGATGTGGATATCTACATAAAATTATATTATAAACACACTATCCTAAAAATAATTATCCAACATATTTATCGATTATCCATCGATAATCATCCAACATAATTATCGGTTATCCATCGATAATCATCCAACGTCGCAGATCGATTAAGTTCGAGAAGACGCCGAACGTCCAGCAACCCGCCGCACCAAAGCCGTCGTCATTTTGACTTTAGAAACTTTTACTTCGGTTTGAACGAAAAGTTTATTGTTGCTGTGTTTGTTGTTGTTGTCGTCATCATCACCGCTCTCATTTGCCCACTCAGTCGCGTGCGTGTGCACCTAGCTTGGCACAAGCGCCGTGGTGACGTCACCACCGGTTGTTGCTGTTGTTGTACACGTGGTGGTGCTGGTGGTGGCGGGAGGGAGCGGTGGTGCAGTGGTTAGCGCTACGCTCCGCTACGAACCTGGCGACCCGAGTTCGATTCCCACTCACGGCCACCAGCACCGGTGACGATTATCTGAAACGGTCCTGGGCCTCCCCTAGGTCGACTCGGCCTCAAACGAGTACTCGGTGCGGTGTGTAGTAAAAATCGCCACTGGAGAGACAAAGGCGGTCGGGCGTGGTGCTGGCCACCCACCCCCTCGTGTGCCGTGCCGGCCTTCATAGGTGCTCGCTAGCAGCACTTGCCCCTACAGCCTGTTAAGGCTACACGGGGGATCTTTGTCTTTGTTGTACAATATATTCGATACGTGTAAATGTAACGATGGGGTTGGAGCGGTTGTGTTCTATATATAGAATATAAATATTCTATATAGATAATTATTTTATATATATAGAATATAAATATAAATATTGTATATATAGAAATATATTCTAAAATATGTAATTAAAAATAAAATATATTTGTTTTACTTGCCAGGTAAGGCTCACAGATATATTATAAATAGTTTAAATATTCTATATATATCAAATATGTATCGAATATATATATATATATATCTGTGAGCCTTGCCTGGTAAATAACTAAAACACATTTTTTAAGTTATTTTTTGTCACTTTCCCAATGCGTCTCACACTCGCGTCGTCTCATTGCATCGTTTGTTTGCAACCTTCTGAGCCCCGTGACCCCTGCTGGAACATCTGTGAGAGAGAGAGAGAACCAAAAAAAGCTTCATAGGTCATCGGATTTCCCCTCCTCCCCCCACACAAAACACATTCCTGCTGCGGAGGGAGCTGGTAGGAACGTCGGGTTGCTCGGTCAATGGCCTGCAGGGTCAACGGCGGCGTGGTGTATTCCGCAAATATGCCCGACTGTGAGGGCGGGCACAAGCCGTTGTGAGTAGGTTAAACGTTGAGTTTTATAAGGGCACCATGGGGTGACCAGCCCCTCCTCACCCAGCCCCTCCCAGCCCCTCCCCACCCTCCCCACCCAGCCCCTCCCCACCCTCCCCACCCAGCCCCTCTCCACCCTCCCCTCTCCACC